ATCTAGGGCGGCTGTTGTCGCAGGAACAGCCACTGTTGCCTCGAGGCACGGGGCGAGGAAACAGTCCGAGATGGAGGCACAGAGACAGTGGGTCAGAAACCAACAGGCCATCGACCAAGCTGTGAACGAGGCCCTGGCCAAACAACAAGCGAGCCAGGGCGTCCAGCAGGGCTCTCCTGCTCCGGCTATTGTGCAACCTGCGGCCGGGCCGCCTCCGATTTACGTGGCCGGTGATGAATACCCTCCATCTGGGTCTGGGCCGTACCTCCAGCCGGGGGTTGTTCCCCAACGGCCCCGGAGTACGTCCGCGGCCGACTCTGGTATATGCTTCTGCTCTGGCTGTGGGAAGAAATGCGGCACGCAAGACAGGTTCTGTAGCAGGTGCGGCCGATCCCTACAGGCAGAGAGTGCTCCCTATGATCAGCCTGAGAAGCAGGCAATGTGACCGATGAGATGCGGTTGGGAGATTGGAGTGGTTTCGAGCGTTTGAGGAATAATTTGTTGGGAATGATGTGTTGACGGGCAAGGCACTGACATTGTAATTTGAAGAGTATTATTCACTGTTTTTGTAATATAACACATTTTAAAGGCCATTTTCCCATTGTTCTACAGTAGATATGTAGCCGCCAAGAATGTAGCGCCGATGATGTAAGGGAAAAAGGCAGCTGGGCAGCTTGTAAAGGGAAACTGCTGGATATTTCACCAGGTAAAGGTGATGCTGGCATTTACTGTCGCAGTGTTAGATGCAATGGTAGAAATGCCGATAGTTGAAGTGAAGTGGTTGTAATATAGAGGGCGACAATGATTCCGGGAGAAGTAATGATCGAGGATGGCAATGCCTGTGTAAAACACTTCCATGTTGAAGATGTACATCTCATGATTACTTGAAATCTAATCAGTGGATGTCGGCAAGCCTTCACAGTAAACACAGTTCTACTATTTCGGATTCATATGACCCTCAGTCAAACTCTGCTGGCTGCCTGGAGTCTTTGCATCTAGCGTTTGTTGAATTCGCTCGCTGGGTAGCCACCGCTCAGCCGGAATAAACCACCACGAAAGCAAAGCAAAGATGGTGACAATGCCCATAATGACTGGCGCATAGTTGAATGTAGCGGCCGACACAGGGAACGCATACGGCGAGTAAAGCACAGCTACCACCCATCCGTTCCATAGAATAGAAATGGCCTGGAAGGGTTTGCTAAGGCGCCCTAGACTCCAAGCAGCTCTGGGGAAATTGTTGGGGGTGAGAAACAGGCGGCCAATACAAATAAGCCCGTACGCTGCCGCAGACGGCACGCCGGCGGCGGAGACCAGAGACGTAAATGCTACCGAGGACGGCAGTATTGTGCAAGTGATGATGGCCGCCACGGCCCAAACGACTATGACGGCGTTGCGTGGCTGCCCGTCAACTACCTGGGATACCCAGGATGAGAATGGCAACACACCATCGCGGGCAACGGCGAACACGAGTCGTGACGCGGCGAGGACTGCAATGGCAGTGTTCTAGAGTAGCTTGTTAGATTTACAGTGCCTCGCATCTTGGTATTGATATTTTGGTATTTCCAAATAGGCACTGCCGTGGTTCAACTTACAAACCAAAGGGCAATAATGCAGATTATGTTCATGAAGATGTGCCCGCCGTCACCGAGAATGGCCGCATACAATGGCACAAACGGTTGTGCGCCGCCGAAGCTAAAAAACACGTCCGATGACGGCTTACTACTCGTTAGAAAGTGCTACCTAACTCCTAGATGTGTAAATGAGAACTCACCACGCAGAATAGGAACAGGATGACAACCACAAAACCGCCAAATCCGCTGACAACTGTGCTCCAGAAGATTCCCCGGGCTGCTGAAATGCTTGCATTCCGAGTCTCTTCAGCAACGTGACCGGATGCGTCAAAGCCGATTAAGACACCAGCAGTAGCTAGGTAAGACAGACACCAATTCCATCCTGCTGGAGCCCCTGTTCCATTGTATGTGGTCATAAACGCGTCATGCGCAGAACGGAAGCCATAGGTTTTGGAGGTGGCAATGGGAAGCCAGATCATGTTCAATACGAAGTCTAATATGACGGAAGATGTGGACAGATAAAAGATCCACTTGAAATATCGCGCTGTGACTGTCAGTATATAAACATAGTTCTCGAGCAGGACGTGAAATGACTGACGAGGCAAGAGGTTCCAAATTGCGGCCAAGGCGAGCAGGATCTCGGTCGCCACCCACTGCACAGCTCGGAATTTGACGCTTGAGGCGCCTGAGGGGAAGTCGAGATTGAAGACTACGATTTCCTGTTTGTGTATTAGTACGTATGCTGGAAGAAAGGGGTCGGCTGGAGACCTACTGAGAGCATGTAGTTGACGGCCGATTGGGTGTTGCCTGCAGACATGTCAGAACCGCGCCATCTTTCCAAACGATATAAATCGTCTGGGAATAACGAACTTGCACAGAAAGTAGTCCAGGCCGTAGTACTCCACCACGCGACAATGAAGCCGAACAGACGTCCAAAGCGTGGACCGCCAGCCTCTGCTGCCCACAGATAGATGGAGCCGGCCAAGGGAAGCGACGAGCATATTTCCGCAATTACAGCTGCGGTGATGAAAGTAAATACGCACGTCACTATGAAACTTGTCCTGTTTTTCCCGTTAGAAACGTTTTAGTTTGAGGGCGCTGGTGGCTGTACCAGTAGGCGAGGTTGCCGCCGGCTGCAATGCCAGTGGCAAATGTGACTCGAACACCACCGATGAAGTATAGGGCCGCTGCATTTGTTAGTCGACTATTTTGACTTCAAAAAGTGTAGCTCGCGCACCAAAAGTAGTCGAAAAGTTATGGAAAAGGTTCAGTGTCCGATGCAAGACCTAGAAAAAGTAAGATTCTGTTCGCAGAAGTGAACAAAAGCAGTCGTCACCATACGGGTTTGTAACCAAGGCTCTCCTGATAAGACCGTTAATAAATCATCTCAATGGCTATGAGTTACTTGGTGATTTGACATACCAGTATCCGTGAGTCTGCCGTCGTTTCCTGCTCAGGGTCGGATGAGTTATTAACGGTGCCTGTATGCGCAGCATCTCGCGCTCCATTCCCCTCGGCAGCCATTTCCTCTCCAGCGCCTAGTTAAAGACTAGAAAATGGTTGAGCGTTGATCTCTTAGTTTAAAAAGAAATTGCAGGAGTCCCAAAGAGTAATCTTCATAATAGGGTGTTGAGCGTTGAAGCTCAGCCGTTCAATGCCACAGTTCTGGAGCCCAGCAACCTGAGTCAAGCCGTGCAATATGTCCGCGTGCCAGCTGCATAAAATGAAGTAGCTCAAGGAATTTGAGTCATAAAGTCGTCACCAATCTGGCAGAAACTGTCTATGATGGTTTATAATATATAGCAGGACTTTTCGGAAGCAAGGTGTTGACGATTGATGAGATAAAATATCACAAAGTTATTGACGAGCGGGTCTAGAAACGGATCACGTTATTGGGTGGACCATAATCTTAGCAAATCTAAATTCCTGTCTGTATTATCTCAGTATGACCGCCTTCCCTACTAGGCTAAGAAGCGCTTACCAAGCCTATCGTAAGCACGGCTGACTCGAATTAGATCAGCCCACCAGACTCTTAACCCAACTCTTTTCTGCTTGCTATTCATGATACTTTTAACAATACAACCTGAAGGGATAAGTAGCTGAGGGTGCTGCCAGATGCTTTCCCCATACGCTAGCTGGGGGCAGCTCATATATGTAACCCGGTCGACGAATCTTGAAAAGAACGCATGCTGGCGGCACAAATGATGATGTCTAACGCAGTCGATATAGCTCAATACATAGTTTAGATGTGTAATAAGACACCGACCGGTACCAATATATACACCGCAATACGATCTCCATCTGGATGAGGTCCTCCGCCTTTGGCAGATTTGTAACAAGATGGCCGCTACTAAAGGTGGTTTAAATTGAAATCGGCGGGCGGCCTATCGGCTAGCTCGACTATGAGCTCGTAGCAGGGCTGTTGTGATTGATGAGCCGGGCGATCGGTGAGGTAGCTTCGAGACGAAGACGGGCTTGATTGAGGCTGTTGGATTTGAACAACCTTCCGGCGGACTTCATTGGAGTGGTTGAATTTAACGAGCCCCATCGCGCAGCCACCTTGGAAGCTGCCATTATTGTACTTCCTTATGACTCTGATCGCGAATTTGGAACTGCTGTATCTGCTGCTCTTGCCACACGGAGGTCACGATGTATGGAAGGCACGGGCAACCCCTTGAATCTGACGATAGTTACACAAGGGCTTGAGTCCTAGTTAAGGCCTCAGGCTTCCAGCCTCGCTTGCTCACCGCTGCCTTGTATGAATAAGGGGCATTTAACCCCAAAGGCCTAGATGGAAGCCAAGGACTTTTAATACCAAAGCGAATTATTAGCTGAATCGAATATTGTTACAAGCCCTTATAACTAAGCCCTGGTCGCAGCTCTTCACGCAACTGTTGACGAACTCGACCACATTGAACAGTCTTAGGTTAAAAGAAGTCTTATCAGCTGTATATGAGCTTTCAGCTTGCTTTACTCTCGGAAAAGTAACAGCTGTGAGAGGTTATCGGGGTGATTATCGGTTTTGACCATTGAACCATGTAGCAAAAGATCCAGCAGTAGCGGCTCTTGGCCGATAAAACTTTATATTCAGCTTCTACATGTGCCCTCGGCGCTACCTTTTCCCTCTGTGGCCCTGAAAAGGTGAAAAAGACGAGTGGAAGCAACCTCCACCATCGGGTCTCCTCTGCGTTTGGGACTATACTAGGTATGAGCTGTCCCGGTTTTAAAATTATGTTTTAACCAGTATTTATGATTTTAAGTACGAGAATCCATGGACTACCTTCACAAAAGGCATCATGATGTAAAGGAGACTGAGATACTATATTTAGATAGCCAGTTCCGGAGCAAAATTTTATCCCCGCCAAACATCAACCGAGAATAAATAGAACAAACGAGAAGTGCATGTGCAGTCTACTCGTTGGTCGCGGCAGTTGGCCTGAAGGGAGGTGTCAGGAGTGTGAAGGACAAAGAGAGATACCAACCTTGAATGCCGGATGTTCCTCCACTCATGGTAGTACAACAGAAGCTATGATACTGCTGGGAGGTCTGAGCTTAGTTTCGAATTTTTGCATTCCAGAATTGTTTGTCTGGAGAATTTGTGAAAATTTCCCCAGATAATTGCCTTTTGCCGCTTAAAAGCTAGATATGGTCTCTTTGTATGGAGTATGAGCTTGCAAGCTCGTATAAAGAATAAGCTTCCGAGTCTAATGCAACCCAAATACTGACTGTAATAGTTATAATAGAATAGAATAAAGGTAAGTAAAAAGAACATGTCACCCAAGGCAAGAAAATTAGAGATTGTGTCAGATCATGGTCTCGAGCACTTACCACATTGTGTGGTACCTCGTCGCATTCCGCATTCAGACACGTAAAGGCCGACAGTTGACCCGTGAGCCAGTCATGAAACGTTTTACTCCAGAATCCTGACAGTTATATATCTGGTTCTATTCCCAAAAGTTGGCTAGCCTGCAGTTCAAAATACTTATTTCCACCGAAAAAGACTTGGTTAAAGCATTGCTCATCGTTACATTGATCGGCTGAGAAGAGATGTACCTCTGCTCAGGAGGGGGTATGATGCAGAAACGGAAGGGGAACTTGCAGTACGTAACCATGTAACTGAGAAGTTGTCCCGCTTTGTGCGGACTGGAAGTGATTCTCATGCCCGTTGATACTGCGAGCTGACGCTGTCTGCAAGTATCGCCATCATTCAGGGAATCGGAGAGGATCCCAAAGGCTGGGATACAGGGGAGATCATGACGTGGGTGAAAGAGTCTATGGGAAAGCGTGACGAAGTCCCCGAGATAACAAAATTCGCAAACACCTTGGATCTCCAGGCAGGGATCTCATCCAAGAGTATCCGAAAGGCTGCTGTTCAGCTCCTACAGAGAATGAAGAAGGAACTGGAGCAATCAACGGCGAACACGCAAAGCATTTCTCAGCCGGCTTACCATGCCCGAATCGCTGGTCGCAGACCACGAGCCTTGAACTACAACTAACCTGAATCTGGTTCCTAGGCTCCATCATTAGTCCTCATAGGTTATGACCTTGGAGGGTTGGTAGTTAAGCAAGTATGATGGCCTCTTAGGCTCCCCGCGGCCAACATGAGCTGATATATAGCAGGCCATCTTGATTGCCATGAGCAATGAAAAATACTTGTCCGTTGCAAAGAATACATCCCACTTGGTAAGCTTCGCAATAAAGGATCTATGCTCTTCTCACTGACGCCTCCATCCAGGTATTCATTGGCACTCCTCACCGATCTACCGAATTCGAGTCGTGGGAGAGTATAACCAAAACGGTTATGCTGCAGGGAAAAAGTCAGGACGCCTGCACATTTTCCGAAGATTTTGAGCAGTCAGCTCAGACGTTGATGGACCTGAGCAAGAGCTTTCAAGTCGTGGCCAAGATATACTATATCGTTAGTTTTTATGAGAATGTCGATGAGGCGGTGCGTTGGAACCCCGTCCCGCTTCCCCCTTCTCATTTGAACCAACTCACATCCTTCAAATACATATCGGCTAACATGAAAGCCGTAGGCGTTTTGCAAGGAAACATCAACGATGGGAATTCCCGAGGAAATTTCTAGGCCGATAGACGACCACCGTATTGTCCGTCATGGGCTTCAAGAGAACGAGAAAAGGGGTAAATCTACAAAATTCCTCACAGGAATAACGCGGAGGGAGGAATGTTCGTGATTATGGCCAGTCTACTCATAGAGCTTGTCGCTAACCAACCCGTTTTCAGCTCTCAGATCTCTATATCGGAACTGCCTCATACACTTATCGATCTCCATGGCTGACTCAGAAGATTGTCTCGGCGGGGATGCCCAACTCTTTGCGTCCACTCCGGAGGAATTCAAATGGATTCTCGACAATGCCGCATACAAGGACTGGATTGGGCCGTCTTGCAGCCCTTTGTGGCTATATGGGCGAGCCAATTCAGACCTCGCCGCCTCGGTGAGCGTCTTGGAAAGGGAGGCGCGTGAGAAATTTCCAGATGCCAACATCATTAAATATTCCTTCGATGCCCGCGACGACCGATGTCGATCGACGTACAAAATGTTTGCTTCTTTGAGCTACCAACTGCTGATTCTTCAACCATGCCTCTTCAAACATGTTGAGCTTCTCTACAAGGAGATTGAGGATAAGACGTACTGTGTGTCACCGTCCTGGAGAATCGAACCTTTATGGGCCTTTTTCCGCTCGTTGCTCTCCTGCCCACATAAAGACCATGGCGTGACCTTTTGCTTTGTCAACATGATAGACGAGTGCGACCCTTCCAGCAGCGGCTTCTTGAATGACCTGCTATTATTGGCGGACTCGGAAACCCCAGCCAGCAATTTCAGGCTCGCAGTCACCAGCCATAAGACTCCCGATTTTGACGCCAAGTTCTCCGCACGTGCGATCAAGATTATCAAGGAGAGAGATCAAGACTCTGATAAAAAGAAGAATGAACTGGAGAGAGTGATTGCTCGTGAGACTTCTTTGTTGTTTGCAGCCAGACCGGAACTGGGCAAGTTTGACAGCATTATAAAGGAGAAACTGAGAGCCGCTGGTGACGCTTTTAACATTTCACTCATTACAACATGGCTACAGCTACGCCAGCCTCAGTTGTCTTACGCAGAGCTGGAGACAGAGCTGAGCTCTCTACCTCTCACCACATTTGGGATATATCAACACTTTATTGACGGGATACCCGTAGAACGACGACTGTGGTCGGGGAAGATACTCTCTTGGATGATTCATGCGTTTCGGCCATTGAGCATGACCGAGCTTGCCTTCGCCTTGGCTCTTCAAGACGACGTCGTCTCCGTCTCTGAACTGCGGAGAAAGTTGCCCCAGGATCTCGCATCAGATATCCAACATGTATTTGGCAACTTAATCAAGATCCAACACGACAACGTCTTGTTTGCTCATAGCAGCTTTCGGGAGTTCCTCCTCCAAGGTCGGCACGGTCCTAAAGAGCGCGCTTGGATGTTCGAGTTCGATGACCATGCGAAATTCGCCGAGTCGTGCCTCCGCTACCTCTCTTTGGTGACTTCGCAAACAGAGAAATCGAAGCCTATTTTCGACGACAGCAATTTCGACACGTTTCCCGAGGGGGACGAGTACGATTTTCTCAACTATGCCGTCCAGTACTGGTCTAAGCACTACAAGTTGGCGAAACATGATCTCTTCCCAAGCCTTCACGAAAAGGCGTGCGCATTCTTGGAGGAGCCCAGGCCTATTCGAATGTGGTCACAGCTACACTTTGACGGCTTTGGATGGTCAGAGATGGCCTCCGAACCGCTCCACCTTGCGATCTTACTCGGCTGTAGTGATATTGTCCGCACGCTGCTCAAGAAGCGGACGTGGGAAGCCGATATCCTCTCTGAGGCGCTTGTATTTGCCGTGGACAATAAAGACGAGACAATCATTGATTCCCTCTGGGAAGCTGGTGCCGAGAATGAGACCATTTTGTGCCTCGCTGCCCTGTCCGGGCGAGGTCGGGTGCTGACCAAAATGCTGGAAATGGAGGATGAAGACTCACTTGATTTTTCTCCATTGCACATGGCATCTGAATCTGGCTATCATGAATTGGTTAAAGAACTGCTCAATGCAAATCACGAACCAGACTCCATATTTCTCGGAAAGGCTCCTCTTCATCTCGCCAGCGAGTTTGGCCATGTCGACGTCATCGAGGCGCTTCTTGTCGGAAAGGAGAAGGCTGATGAGGACGGGAATACGAAGACAGACACCAATCCAGGCCGCGGCGCGAATGTCGAAATATTAGATAAATACCGTCGGACGCCTCTCATCGAGGCCATCAGATGTCAGCAACCTGGCGCAGTCAAAAAACTTCTTGACCGGGGTGCTAAGCTTGACGCTGTAGATGGAGAAAACAATCGAGCGTTGCACCATGCCGCCGAGTCTGGCCGCGAGGACATTTTCGGCATAATTCTAAGTTACTACGAGAAGCTCCGGGGGGATGATGGCTGCTTTAGGATACTCCAAGACGCAATGGAGGCACAAAACAACCAAGGTTCCACGCCGTTGCACTTGGCCGCACGCGAGGGCCACATCGAGGTGGTGCGGCAGCTCCTCGAAAAGCTGAAAGCTAGAGAAGAAACATTGGTCATGATGGGGGATAAAGCCGGGAATACGCCCATTCAGCTTGCGGCCAAGGGAGGTCATGCCGATGTGCTAGAAACCCTCATTAAATGGCAAAGGGACGCAAGATGTCAGGAACCAGCGTACCATCACGAGGCTAAAGTCGGAACCATGAATGATCTGCAAAGCCCTCCCAGATGCCGGTGACAAGGTAGACTCGGTAACGAAGGAGGAGATACGCCTCTCTCGTATGCAATGAATAGAGATGTGGTTGATGTCGTTGAACTCTTTCTTAAAAGCCCGAAACTGGACATGAGTTCATCACTACAGACCCCGGATGGATACTGAGATGGGCGGGACAAGGTACGAACACTATCGAGAGGTTTTTCTTCCCATTTACAGGGTTTTCCTGCTCGGTTTATAGGTGTAGGTTCTGCTAAAGGAGCTATGAGTAACTGGCATAAATAAAAGACTCAATAACGCAACTGACTTGAACAACGGCCTTTTTTGGGATTACGAAGAACCAAGGCCTTGTCCAGGACAGTGAGTAACGAAGATAGATGGGAGCTTAGAGGATACGGGTGAACACTTTTATGGTTCAGTTCTTCCTTCCGGCATTTGGTGACTGAATCTGGGGTACCCCGGACGTGGAAATCTTCCGGAGGCGGCTGAGAGCAAGATCCGGGGACCGAGTCGGGGCCCCGGATCCTGTCAATATTTCGGATATGCATCCGAAACGAAATATTGATTGACATGGCTGTAAATGAGAGCCGTTATTGGCGTGACTGTGCATACCAGCCTACACCCTGTCCTCCCGGAGAACCGCTTCGATCGTATCCATGGAGGCTGCGTTCACGGGCTTTATGCCCAATCAGCTTTTGAGCCGCAGAACTCCGTACTTTTACATTCATATCTACACTTAGCAAACCGCCTGCCTCCGAGGATGCGAAGTATTTGAATCGCCATGGTGGTGAAACTCATTGTTGTGTACATACACAGACAAGGCTTTTGAATTGTTACAGGAGGAGTAAAGGAGAACTTAAATGCTAATTAAACAACCATGGAAATAACCCTCTACCAGTTTAGAACCCATAAGAGGCGCTAGCATGCCAACATAGCCGTCAGGTCTAATTACTGCAATGGTTCCCTCATCCTTGGATACGCCAAACACCTTGTACGCGTCCTCATTCTTCGCCAATCCATACGTCCGCATCTCGGCAAATGTCTTGACACTTGGAGGTAGATCTACCCACTCGAATCGCTCAGTCAATGGATGAAGTATTACGAGGTTGATGGCGCCTGTCGGGAACTTTTGGATAATATCGATGGACGATAGTATGGCTGATTGAGAAGCGCCGAATTTGTCAAGGAGGTCGTTGCTTGCAAGCAAGAGGACATGGTAGCGGCCCGTTGATGGCATTTCTATAAGAAAAGTCAGCTCATGTCTATCCGTGGTTGAGTGGAAACTGTAAAAGCAAACCATCTTGTAGGTGTCGAGTGTTGGCATCGGCATATCGCTTCACCTGGACATCGAGTAGCCGCCTGCCGGGCGTCAACGCGCCAGAAAGCGACTCGGCTGGGGTCAACTCCCTGGAGGTGTCGGCAGGTGCTCTTACAAGCCTATTGGGTTTGTAATGAAGACCGCAACCGTTGGTGAAGCCGTTTCCTTCATTGAAAACACGGAGAAACTCCTCGTGCGTCAGGCCTGCTGCTTCAGCATCTGCAGAGCCAATCTGGCCGGAAAACATGTGAGAAAACTGCGTATCGAACTCGATGAGCTGACGAGCGACATCCACACGCTCCTCTTCAAAGGTTTCTAGAACAGGATCCGCTGCTCCAGAAGGGACACAAGGGGTCAGCCCGTGGAGGCTGTGGGCAAGCTTCCATGCCAGGTTGTAAGAGTCCATCATGGACACGTTCATGCCCTGTCCAGCTTTGGGGCTGTGAGTGTGGCAAGCTTTTTCAAATCAGCAGTCATCAAAAAAAGAAAGCATGCAGGAAAAACTCACCATCCCCCACGATAAACACTCTGTCCACGCCATCATTGGCCCTGGCAGTGAACTTGGGCGTCATACGCTGGCCGATCTGATATGCAGCCCACCAGTCTGGCGCTGTACCTTCTTTTATCTTAATCTTGTATGGTGCAAAAACTGCCTGCGCCTGCTCAAAGATGTACTCCAAGGTGACGGCGCCACGCCTCTTCTTGTCCGCTGATTTCTTGTCCGTTTCACCGTCCCGATCCTGGGCAACCTCACCAGATACCTGAACGTACAGGCGAGTAAGGTACTCACCAGTCGCGATTCGCTCTCTAGGAATCACCATGACCGAGCCTGCGTCTGAGTGAACCGCACACCGTTTGCGAATATCGGGAAAGTCGGTGTCTACAACAAAGTCGCACACCCCCCAGATGTGATCAGTCGTCTCGCCCTGGAGTTGAAGACCCATACACTTTCGCACGAGTGAGCGGGCGCCGTCTGCTCCCACGAGGTACTTTGTTCGAACGGTGCCCTGTTCTGTCGTCCCATCCGGGAGGTCGTATTCATACTTGACCAGGATGGGAAAGTCGGGGTGGCTGTCATCGAATGTGTACTCGAGGAAGCGATGCGACCTTCGAATTGTGTTTTTGGGCGCATAAAGATGGAGATTCTCCTGAAAGATGCGTTCGATGCGGCCTTGGTGAATGGTGACTTCAAAAGGGAAGCGCGCAGGCACGCTGACATCGGGGACGAAGCTGGTTCTCTCGATGCCTTTACCGACCTGCGCGCCACTGCCGTTTGTTTGCGCGACTGATTTCGCCGGGTTCCAAAATGCCACCTCCTCCATATGACAGCCCTCGCTGATTATTTCTTCGGCTATCCCAAGGCTCTGGAGCACCTCCAATGTTCGGGGCTGCAGTCCGTCCGCCTGGCCCGCCTTCAGTGTCCCCGGTTTGGAGTCCAGGCAGAGGAGTGAAGAGTCTGTGACGCCATACCTGGCTAGTAACAAGGTCAGGAAAAGACCGCTTGGCCCGGCCTAGTATCAGGTTGTAAGTAGGCAATGCGACCGTCTTGTCGAAATGATATTGCTTACACCTATGACTACCACCTCATGATTCCCCTCGGAGCTTGCCGTGTCATCGCGCCCGTGAGAAAGCCTTGGTAGCGGAGGAGCGCGCGACGGCAAGATTCTGAGATCTCTTGCGGCGTTTGAAGTTTCCTGGAAGACGGGCATTCTGCGAACGGGATGTGATTTTTGTCACCGCAGACTCGACGCCGCTTGGCAATGGAAGCCAGGCCGATGATCGGAGTCGCGGTTATCTTAAGTAAAGGGAGGTAAAAGAAACTCGGTAAGAAGGATACACTTAAAAAGGGAGTCTGCTCCTGTGCTTTCCACTCGTTCTCGCAGGAACTTCCGGCTTCCGGCCGGGATATTTGACGACTTATCCGGCCGGAAGCTGGGGCCCCGGATGAAACGCCACCCAACGTTGCCCAAAGTGTCTTCAGCGGCTGTTGCATCGGTAATGATTCCCCTAGGTCCCTTTGGATGCGGGGGGGAATTACAAATTGCTCCATAAGTATGGAGTACCAGGTAAGTGAGTGGGCGCATCTCCAGCTTGGAGGCAAACGAGGACCGAAAATTTCCGTCCACCTCGCGACCCTAGCTTGTTAATCGGGGTTCAACCACAGGTGACGGAATGCCGTCAGGATCTGTTTCCCGTTGCACAAACACGCCCAGGAATGGCCGAGCCAAACCCGTCTTTGCCCAGCCGGCGCAACCTACCGCGCGCATCGCACGCGTGTCAGCGATGCCGTGCCAAGAAGGCAAAGTGTGACCAGAGACAGCCGTGCGCGAACTGCATCAAGCACCTTGAAGAGTGCACGTATGGACTTCGAAGACGAAATGATCGGAATCGAAATAGCCGTGTCCCTAGCTCGGATCGACGGGGCGCGGCAAGTCCGCAACGCCGTTTGCCAACCGTCCCGTCTACTCGAGATGGCAGAGATGAGCTGTCGAGGGGGAGCCAGACCTTGGAACACTCTCAAGGATCAGACCGTGTAGGTAAGTTCAATTCTTCCCTCTCACCAAAGTACCTGCACGAAATTCTGCTAACATTCGGCCAAAGCCTTTGCGCAACAACCTCTACCGTCGGATAATGCTGACGTAGTAGGAGATGTCAACCAGCACACTCACGGAACTGAGTTCTACGGCACGTCCTCTAACTTTGTGCTTCTCAATCAATTCTTTGCGTATGCTCAGGAGCATCTTCCTCCTGGGCATCCAAACTCCGGCAGCCTCAAAGAGACGTCCTATCTATCTCCTGCCAGCGGCAGGGCCAGCGAGCCGTCCTCCTTTCGGGATCAGAGTAGCCCGTGGGCATCTGGAGGGATTGTTTCGGGACCTGGTCTTACTGCTCCGTCACCGGTTTCCATTGTCAATCTTCTTTCAAACGAAGAAGCACTAGAGCCGCTGTCGAGGCCAAAAACACCTCCACGTGTAACTGAAAACCAATTAGGCGTTTCCGTGGATGCTCCTCCTGCTCTGGGCCGCATAAGAAATGAAAGTCATACGGAATTCATGCACCGTGACGGCCACACGTCAACTCCCAAAAATAGTGCCAGTGGAGAGAGCACTAGCAATCTTCATTCGTCTGCTCACGCTGCCTCCAAGGGAAATCCCGTCCCTGATAGTCCTCTGCAGGCTGCCAGGAAAGGGCTAGAACGAGAATACGTCCGTGTATACATGAGCAACTTGCATCATCTTCATCCCATGCTTGATCCCATTGCGTTTACAGCAAGATGCGAGGAGGTAATATGGGGCGTACACACGCCGCTTGAAAGGAACAAGCATCTTAGGCATTTCTTCGCCCTGTACAACATCGTGGTAGCGGTTGGGGCGCTCATTGCTGACCCTGGCATAACCCAGAATTTTGAGCCAGATGTCAGCTCGTCTGTGAAGCAGCCAGCACAATGTGAAGACTCGAGCTCAGCACTTTCCAGCCAGGCGCTGTCGAGGAAATATTTCCGAAAGTCCAGGGCTTTGCTCGGAGATGTCTTTGAAGTTTGCTCACTGGAGAGCGCCCAAACCCTTCTTCTAATGGTGAGTCACTCTCCAGCCATGGTCTTCTGAGCCTGCCATGTTAACCTCTACGAAGTCGCTGTACTGTCAAAACTCTCTCAAGCCGCATGCGTGCTATATGTACTGTGGGCACGCTGTCCGAACTGCACTTGCCATTGGAATAGCAAGAGAATCCATGTCGAGTTCCATCGAAGATCACAAAGCCGCGCGACGCACCTGGTGGTGCATCTACTCTCACGAAATAGACATGAGCTGCAGCGCAGGTCGCCGTGACAGTCTTGGAAAGCCTCGAAACTACCAAATTAGTCTGCCACGTATCAGAGACCAGGTATCCACCGTCTCCCACAAATCTGAGCTGGAGAACTGTAGCGTTGCAATGATTAACGGAATGGTTTACTTCGCTGCAATCTTGAGGCGCATCTCGAAAGAACTGTACTACGACTCAAAGGGCCTCACTTTGCTGCAAAAGTCTGCGGTTGCAAAGGAGCTTGATGCTCTTCTTGATGACTGGAAGGATCGGCTACCCGAGTACCTTGATTTCAGCCGGGTATCTTTCCGTGAAGCAGAATGGGCGGCAAAGCAGAAGCTCGTTCTATACTTGAGGTATCTGAACGCTAGGATTGTCTTGCATCGACTATTCCTGGAGGCACCTATGAGCAGAACGCGAGCACAGTTGTCAGGACACGTCGACTCTTGTCTAGATGCGGCCCGAGACACAATCAGAGTCATGTACGATGCGTACACCAATCGACACTACTTTCGGACGTGGTGGTACAACTCCACGTATACCTTGTATGCTGGGATGATCGTCCTGTACATTGTTATGCTTGGCCATACTGCTGTGTCTAGTAACGAACTCCTCGACGACGTCATCAAAGCCCAGGATATTCTCCAATCCATGGAGGAAGCTATTGTAGCTCGACGAAGTGCGAATTTGATAAGAGAAGGCTTGGAGGTGGCGCGAGCATGTGTTCAGAGCCAGCGGGATCAATCTGCCCGGCCCGAAGCGACGAACCATGGGCATGAATTTGGCGAATCTCAGGGCCAGTTAGGCGTAGACGATATGCCAAACCAAGCTGGAAACAGTTTGTCAAGGACGTTGTTCTCCCATGCTGTCCCTGGGCAGGATCCTGCCCTATTGGCGTCTATTATAGATCCAAACTTGCTGCAAGATTTCACAGCAGCAGATAAGGATGTGTCGGACCAAGGGTTTGCGACATTTCCATCTGATAGCTTGTATGGAGATGGGCTAGACGTTCATCTAATATCGATGATGGTGTGAAGGCTGTTGGTGATGCCTAGGTCGAGTGGGATAGGGGCTGTTTGCTGAGAATATGTACTAAATAAATGGTTTGGATTGTATCACACAGATGTTACACGGGGGCTACGATCACGCGACCTAGGGTACAAGGTTCTCACTAACTTCTTGTATACATAGACCTCTTTAGTCATCCAGGCCTTGAAGGGAACCAAGAGCATTGATACCAAAGACGTTATCAGATGAAATGAGCCATTGACCCCAAGCCCTCTACTAAGACCTTTTACAAATTGCCAAAAACTGGTTTAGTATTTACCTAAACGATGTGAATGGTTCTAATCTACATGGGGAACAGGAAGGTCATCAATGAATCTGAATGTACGCCCCAAACTTGCCATGGCTTCTTCCGCCTTCTGTCTGCGCAGTGCAGCCGCAGCCTCATCCTTGACCAGGACAAAGTCATAGGTAATCAAAGCAGAACCTAGTTTGACATCGTATTTCTTCGCTAGTTCTTCATCCTCAAGCTTCTTCAACTGTACTACGAGCGAGTCCTTGACGCCAAAAACGGCATCGGTAGATTCATAAGGGTCATCCTTGAGATACAGCGCGCAGCAGATGCATGTCAGTGGATGCTCAATGAAGCTGCTTGTGAGACTGTGCATGGACTTACGTGATTAGAGGATCGTACCCATCCTTCTTGAACATGAAGTGCATGTGACTTGGCCGGTACGGGTGGCGATTCAGCACCTTGAGGAGCTTCCCTACCGGCCCATCGTGCGGAATGGGGTACGGCACCGGGACGATGGCCTTGAACCAAAATTTGCCCATGTCATCGCTCGTCAACACGGCCCTGCCATCCGGTCCGCCCCTGTCCGTGTACTGCACGTCGTAGAACCCCTTCGAGTCGGTCTCCCACACATCAATTTCGGCACCTGAGATTGGGTTTCCGTCGGTGTCTTTCAAGGTACATAAGACAAGGAGGGGCTCGCCGTCTGGATCATGCGATATGAGGCTTCCGGCATTGGCGTGCTCTGCCTCGTGAGTGTGGAAGGGCCCCAGGACGGTGCCCTCAGTGCTGCCCTTCGGTTTGGGATGATCGATTGAATCCACGAGAAGAGACAGGCCCAAGACGTCTGATAGTAGAATGAATTCCTGGGGGGAAAGATAAGCTTTGAGCGTCATTATGGATCCATAGACTTCATACCTGTCTGACGTCGGATGAAATCTGACCAACTTGCGTTAGGAAGAGGATGGCTGTCATCCATTCGTCTGTAGTGAGTCTTGTTTCTCTCGCAAGCTCGTGCAGATGCGCGACCGTTCGCTCCAGGATATATTTCAACCGCAGATTGCCGCACTGCGAGTTGATGGCGTGGACATTTTCAGTAATGTTGTCGATTGTAAGATCCTTCAAGCTGACAGGAGCGGCCATGGTGCGAAATGTGCGTGCTTGAAATGGATGGGATACAGAAAGTAGGTTACTGCGGTGGGAATATTACTCTCAATTGACGACGCGCTTCTCCAACCGACATTCGAGGGGCGGGCTTTGATCGGCTTCAAGAGGACTGCGCGCCGGCACCCGGGATGTGTCCTGCTTTTAATCATTCAAGTTGTTATTGGCTATACCAAGACGCTTGGCATCTGCCGGGCCCGGCATCTCCGGAAAACCCCGCCTCATCCGGAACGAGCTTCCAACTTCCGATCCGGACTCCCCATGGGGCTCCGCATCGCGCATGATGCGCTGATATACTGATTGGATACTCATAGCCGGCGCCGGACGCAGCCGTCAAGTCCTCACACCTTTGATTCGACTTCCCATTTGCACTCGACAAGAGCATTGTTGTTCTAAATCTCGTCGGAATTCGCAAACAAGATGAAGGAATTCGAATACAATGTCCTTGCAAGCCGAGTCATTTTTGGCTCCGGCTCCGTCAAGAAGCTCCCAGCTGAGATGGAACGTCTCCATGTTTCTCGACCACTTCTCCTCTCTACGCCCGGGAAGAGCAACTTCACAAATCAGCTGTCTGACATCATCCAAGCCGCCTCCATTCCCATGGCCGGCACTTTCCCCCACGCAAAAGCACACACGCCGACCTCTGTAACCGAAGAAGCAACCGCCTTTCTCGACTCAGTCGCCGCCGACTGCGTAGTCTCAATTGGCGGCGGCTCAGTGATCGGCCTGGGTAAAGCCGTCTCCATTCGCACAGGAGTACCTCATATCAGCATACCCACGACGTACTCAGGCTCGGAAATGACGCCCATCCTCGGCGAAACGCATAATGGCAACAAGACCACGCGATCGGATCCCAAAATTCTACCCGCAGTCGTCATATACGACGCAGACTTTACAATGACGCTGCCGCCCGCAATCTGCAGTACTTCTGGAATCAACGCGATTGCCCATGCCATAGAGGCGCTCTATGCAAAGAATGCCAACCCCATCACTTCCATGCTTGCGCTTGAGGGCATAAAGGCACTGGCAGAGGCGTTGCCGCAGATTGTTCACAACCCAGGGTCCAAAGCTCCAAGAGAGGAGGCTCTCTACGGCGCTTGGCTTTGCGGTACTGTCCTGGGGAGCTCATCTATGGGACTTCATCATAAGCTCTGCCATGTGCTCGGGGGGTCGTTTGCACTTTCCCATGCAGAGACACACACCATCGTGCTGCCGCATGCGTTGTCTTATAATGCACCTGCCATCCCCGAGCAGATGGCCAAGTTGGCCTCTGTCTTTCCTGGAAGCAATGGAGACGCTCTACACGGTCTGGAGCTGTTACTCCAAGAATTGAGGGTGCCACGGGCACTGAAGGACTTGGGAATGGAGGAGGGCGATGTTGATAAAGCGACCGAAATTGCTACGGGTAATCAATACCCGAACCCGCGTCCATTGGAGAAGGAGTGGATTCACGAACTGCTTCGACGAGCTTGGGCTGGAGAAACTGCAAAGGCAGATTTATGCAATAAATGAATTCCAGAATAGCTGTAGCGAGATGATTATGAAGATAGGTGGGGTCTGGAGAGACTGAATGTATATTTGTCGAGTCTTGAGCATCTCTTAGAGTTCTGGCTGCTCACGCGCATTACTCTAGTAGTCAGTGTCTTTAAGAAACTCTCAATAAAATTGCTCCACCCTGTATGTGTCGTGGAATTGTGTACTCTTTGTTATGCTTGCTATGCATTGACTCCAAGCAGAGGTCCCGGAAAGCCCAATGTCTGGCGATAGCCAGCACATCATGGAGATTGCTGCCGGCTGTGCCGAAGGATCTGAGCCTATTGCATTTCACATATGATACAATTCTGTTTGCACAATATTCAAGGTGCTTTTATTTCCAAGAGCCGTTGATGTTGATGAAGGCAGGTGTGGTCATGAATGGCGGAAAACAACCTTTCTGGGACAGTCATCCCTTCCCTACAAATTAGATGTAAGCAATGCCTTCGAAGTAGGTCTAGACTAGGAATGCAAAAATTGGATTCCTTAAATACACAAGTCCGAAATGACATTATTAGTCTGGGCAGTATTCCCTACTTTATCACAGTTCTTCCGGAGAAATTAGGTCTTATGCTTCTCAGCGTCTACTGCATCAGGCCCCATGCCTACCTGAAGCTGAACGAGGTCTCCGGCTGAAGTTCCATCATAGGCACTGGTGTGCGATTTTATAGTTATAAAGCTCGAGAGAAGCTTACTAAGACAATGATGTTGACTCTAAACACATCTTTCTAACCAGTGCTTCTGGTACACCAATAGTCTCCGCGTCGGCGTCAAGTATTTGCCAGTGTGTCGAGCCCCGGCAAAGGATTCGCCGTTCTGAGTAGCAACAGCCACGTGGTGTTGAAAAATGTCATTATTTAAAATTGGATTTCAAGTTTCCTCTTATTCGTCTGGTAGCAGGCTGGTGAAAAGGCTAGTGATGCTCGTGTCAGACGAGGCGACGTATTTCATTGGTTCCCAATATCTCTGTATCGGAGGCAAACAAGTCTTGACCCCCGAACCCCATGCCAACCAAACATTATGGACGGGCAATCTAGTTGCATGACTGGCGCGACGGGACGGACATGCCGGTACACATCGTCATCGTGGATGGCTTGGCAAGCCAGCCACAACATATAGTCCGATGCAAATATCCCCCTTGCCCAACTCCTTTGTCACTTCATAGTGTATTGAACTCGCTACAGCAATGCTAGTTGCAATTTTCGGGAGTGGGTGCGGCGGTTAGTGTGACAAGGCTCAGTGAGGGCTTAGAGCAATAGCTCAATTTATCTAATAACAGTCTTTGGTATCAAGGGTCCTTGGTTCTCTCAAGGCATGGATAGACTAAAAAGCTCTATAAATACAAGAAGCCGCTGAGGGCCTTTTTCCCTAGGTCCCGTGATCGTAGCCCTCGTGTAACCGTGTGACAATTAGATCGGCGTGGTAATCCAGGAGTGCGGCGCCGGGTTCAAAACGATTCGACCAAAGGGCGTACCGGACGGCTGAAATAGCGAAGAGAAGGAAATCTGAATCCAAACCATAGTATAATCATGCGGACTTGAACGCTAGATACACTTGCTGCGCCTCACACACTACGTGGAGTGATAACTTTGCGACGACCACGTATCCTGCAATTGAATGTGATGAAAGGTTTTTAATAACAAATGGGTGTTCTTGGGGCAACTGCGGCTGAGTTGATACGGCCGTCAATCATCTCCGTTGGCTATTGCTTACATTGGGCATACAAGCGACTTGGGAATCACGGTGGACGCCGTAGAACACACTCTGGGCCATTGATTGCGCAGTGTCTTCGACATACCATAATCCCTGGATCAACTTTACACCATTTCCATAAAGGAGGGAGAATAATGTGCGTGTTCCTACCATCAAGTTACGAAGGGCAAACAAGCCCCTGAGCCGGGCGGACTGGAACCGGATGCTCGGGCTCGGTGTTAATCAGCCGCACCGAGGCTTAGGCTTAGTTCAATGGAAACATCCCTGTGATTTCCCCAACTTGGAGGTCTGCTGACTCTTTTGCATCGATTGTTTGAGTTGTGATAAGTCACTTTGAGCGACGGACAATTGGCGGAAGCAGAGGCGCGAAGAGTCTCTGGGAATCGCCCGATGAACAGCCAAAAAATAAGCATGACTGCTAGTCAGACTACATATAATGTGCTGACAGGGGCTTTCCGCCCTATTCCCAACACATATTTACATGAAGACACGTCAGCACGCTTATGGCTCAGCCTTGCCCCCAGCCAATAGTATTTTGCGTCATTGCGGCATTGCCTGCGGGCTTTTGTCTTCTTGGATCTTTTACGGGATCAAACCATGCCAACCGAGTCATACGAGTCTGTCAGCTCGGAGCCATGAGGCCACACTCGGAAACAAAGCACGGCCCGTTCGCAGTATTTAATCTCTAGTCTGGGACCTCTGTATGTCTCAGGCTATCATCCATAAAAGCATCTTGTTTAGTGTTTTATTGATCTCGAAGCCGGTATATCCAACAATAATCACCATCAAATTATCATAACATCCTTGAATATGAAGACTTCGTCAACAATCTTGGCGCTCGTTCTGAGTTCAGTCGTGGCTGCTCAAGGCTGGGATCCAAGGTGCCCGACGGGGGGAATCTCCGACTGCAGAGCGGAAAGCTGCTTAGAAAAAGGGTGCCCTTCTGGCCAGACGTGCTGCCCAAAGCCGTGTGGAGGTAGCTGGGTAAGTGTGAGCCTACTATGTGCAATTTCAAGTCTCAATGATACTAATGGAGTAGTGTGTCAAATTGTAAAGACGGGATTCTAAAGACGCATGCTGTATTTGATTTCAATTTTTGTAAATTCTCAGCTGCAATAGAGGGGTTGGGATGCCCAATTCAAGACGCTTGGCCGTAGATCTTTCGGATGACTCGTGATCCTTCCGAGGCAGCCACAATAAAACACACTGGATTTCTTGCAGAAAATTGACAACCTGTACATTCACATACATTTTGCGTCTTCAGATTTGAAGGGGGAGTCGATGCTTGGGGCATTCTCTCAACGAAGCCATATCTATGTGCATGTTTAAGGCGACAAAATCTCATCCCCTAGTTCCCTGATCTTAGTGCTACTGAGTGATGTATTTCTTTCATGCTTCCTGACAATCTATACGGCTCCCAAGAATAAGAACTACTCCCTCTTCCGTACTTACTCAAGTTGCTTCCTTCCATAAGTCCCAGTCCAATATGCTTTCCGAAAGTGTCTCCGGATCTGGCATCTGTTGTATTATAGAGAAGAAATTGTCAGCCGAGATGCCAATGCTATTGAGCAAATCCATGTTGCTCGACGTATCGTGGCCAAGATCTTGCAGGGAGACATCGGGTTCTGGCATGCCTGCGCCTAAATTATGATCTCCAACGGACAGTCTAGCCTCGTTTCCAGTGTCAGCACCCCATGACTCCATCAGCTCGCTCTCCCAATGGGACAATGTCAGGGTTTGGTGGCCCTGTCTCCTTCCTTGAACCGCCAGCTCGGCACACAGGGTTTCCAATTATTTAAGCTCAGCCGTCCTCGCCCTTGCTATGCGGTTGCCTCTAGAGACCAACTCATGAAGAATCTGACGAGCCATATGTCGGCAATGCTGATAGTCCACCACGTGGGGGAAGACGGCGCTGGCCATGGTCAGGTGAAGGGCGGCTCCAAAGGCAAATTCAACATCATACGGTAAAAATACCTCTGGAATCTCGTGTCAGAAATTTGAGCGGACTGCTTGCTTGCACACTAGATACATACCTAGCAAGCTGTATTCTTTGGACAGAATCTGAAGTGTTTTGGCGGCTGATTTGATGCCAGCAGAAATGACAGTCGCCGTTTGGGCCAAAAAGCTATCCCAGTTCTCATCGTCGGGATGGCCCAGTAACTCTGACCGCTCCTTTAGAGCTGCAAGAAGCGGCGGACGAGTCGCAAATATGACACACTACGTTAAAATGTAAGCAGGGTGTGGTAATGAGAGGGGGTATACTATCGATGAGGTCGAACCTGATGGTACAACATGGTTAAATAATGCGTCTCTCTAGGCATGGCTCCTGGTGAATTGTCAAACTTCAAACGTATGATTCTTTCTATTTCCTGTGCATGATGCGCCAGGGTATGCAGGATAGATCGAGTCTGCTCCAGGAATGAAGTCAGAGCGGTTCGGGTGGGCAAATAGACCGCTATGTCCCGAATGTTAGCCCAAGAGACAGGAAATAACGGATGTCATAGCCTTACTAGTGACGATGATGGACATTAGATGAGAAAGATTGACCTGGAGACTACGTGCACTGTCACTTTGCGAGCCTACATTGGGCGGATTAACAGGTGTGGTTATGTCACCGTCTTGAACCGACATGGGCAACCCGAGCGACGAAGAGAAGTGACGATCCATAATGTACAATGTCCACCAGAGGTCCCGACAATACGTCACTTTCTCCGCACCAAGTTCTTCTTGGGGAAGCTGTGTATGGAGGCCCTCCATTTGGGCGATGCGTATCGCATTGCTGAGCTGATAAGACGGGAGACCGTTAGAAACAGTGTTTCCTGAGTCGCCATAACACAAGGGGGAGTGACCTACATAGCAATGAGCCGACTCCCTGTCATCTATACAGAAGAGGTACAGGCCCGCCATGGCCAAAATTTCGATCCCCAGCATGCTCTCTTTCCACATACAACCAGGGCCTGGCATGAGGGCCATAGCCCTTGAAAAGAATTGGGCACCCGGTGGTTGCTGAGCCGTCGTGTGAGATGTGTGAAAAGCGGTGCCGAAGGCTAACACAAGGAGAAATTTAATAAACCACACGCGGTAATGTGACACATTTTGTACCGCGTTTGCATAAAAGTCCCTGATTTCGCTCTCGAACTCTTCTTCATCAAACAGTCGATAGGTCTGCCCGAGATGGAATTTCACGGTGGTAAAGAGATACAGCGCATGATTTAGCGATGGAAGACCCGAGATGTTCATTTCTGAGGACGAAAAAGACGGCCATGGGAACTCGTACACCTCTGTTTCGAGCACGTTTTGCGGAAGGGAGGGGCTTCCGGGCCGTAGCTTCTCACCCAATGTCAGCATCAGACGCACGGTAAAGGACCATGTTGACCAGGGAGAGAGCCAGACTACCAAAGCCAAAGTCGAATCAGTTACGGTCCAAAGATGTAGGCGGTTTTTTGGTGCTGACTTACTCCATTGTCTCCTGTTTCTTTGGAAATTTGGAATTGTCCTTGAAGGTATAACAAAAGGATCTGTGCGCAACCGAAACTCTGGTTCACTCTGTGGCTCGCTTTGTGGTTGTATCGCGACATCGGGGCATTCCTCGGCCTGTAGACTGCTCTGGCCACCTGACATCGACATGGGAGACGTAAGATGCCTGCACCTATCAGTTGGGCAGTAATTTGGGGTGAGGATGTCACTATCCGGGCCGAGGGCATTATTAAATGTCCTTTTTGCCCTTGGGAACAGACCCGTACTGGGGGCGTCTTGCCGAGCCGGCGGCGTCTTGCCGGACACCAGAGGTGGCGATGACTCTGTGGTCAAAGACGGTCCGGGCCGACTCCGTGTATACACTTGCGGCTCCGAATACCTGGTAGTCGAAGGCGACGGCTGTTGCCTTTGTGCTCGCCTCCGTAGGTCGTCGAGGTATTTGCCTGTTACGACGACTTTGTGGCTGCTAGCATCCGCGAACTTGCATGGAACAAGCCGCCGCTGGCAATTTTGGCACGGCTGCCTTCCAGAACATTTAATCTTGCTTTGTCGACATGCCGTACAGCTATGGAAACAAATCAGTCACATGTTTGCTGCACATTCGGCAACTATAATGGAAACAAGCAATAGTCGGCATGTCGCAAGCAATAGGAAGAGGTGGTTTCTTACGCGTTGGGCGTCCTCCTAGCCCTGCGAGTCTCCGCTTGCAACGGCATCTTCCTATTCCCAGTCCAAGACAAACACGTTCTGTGATTGAAGCGGCATAGATCAGTTGAAGAGATTCCGCAAGGAGATCGATGACGACTTATGAATCGATTACCTGGTTAAGCTTGAACAACGCCCGTAAGTTGCCTTTGCGCGGGGCACATAGAGGCGGCCAAGTACCAGACACTAGTCCAAGAAGAGTCTAGCCTAGTAGATCTCGGTCTAACCGCCTGGCTACTTTATTAGCCAGTGGCTCAATTCAGCCAATAATTTGAGTCTTTGGTTTCAAAGGTCTTTGGTTGTCTTCAAGGCCTAGACAACTACAGAGCTCTGTTTATACAAGAAGTCGATGTGAAACTCGTGCCCCAACTTCTCGTGATCGTAGCCCTTGTGTAACATTCGTGTGACAACTAAGGCTAATACTTTTGTAGAGAATCTAGGTATAAGCTCTTGACAAACGAGTTACAAGTATTACACTAATTAAATTAAAAAAAAAATATATTATTAAGCCAATCTAACAAAAATAAAAAAGGGTCAGATCATAATTCGCCATATTAAGTAATATTATATCTTAGCAGTACCTATGCCAGGGAACCGTAACCAACCACGCAATACACTATGAACGCATCGGAATACGTCAGACACACTAGCCGAGTTGATGATTCATCTTGAAAATATATATAATAACCCTGAACAACTTCTGAGACTTTTACCTTTTCAAGAAAGAGCAGGTCTCCCCTCTTCTGCAAGTTTTCCTCCCTAGGCGGCTTCGCCGGTGTGGCCAAAGTGCCTGGCTTTAACGGCTCCATCATCAACATCGGAGCCCTGACCCCTTTCAACCAGCCCATCGTTCCAAGTAACAATGGCTTCGTCACCACAATCGCATGATAAATTCTTGCTCAAAAGGAGCTTCGACAACGGATACGTCACGCATGACGAAGGAAAGGACCCCGTTCGCAAGAACCTGGCCACCCCGGCGGCGGCAGGCGCGGTTCCAGAAGATGCAGCACGGACTGTCACGTTCCCCGACATTTCCAATCACTCGCCGTACAATGTGTGTGTCACGGCCCAAGATATTAAGACTGGTTTCTACTCCAAGTTGCTGGCACTGCAGGGCTGCCATAATACGTACTGGACAGGGGTGGCCTTCTCGGGCCAAAACAGCGCTCTAGTCTGTACTTGGAACCAGGTGACTATTTTGGCTAGCCGGAAGAGGGACCTTGGACTGAATTTAGCCATCGTGGGACTTTGTGTTGGCTATTTCACCCTAGGAGATGTTGAAGGGGCACTTCATAATTGGCATCCCGCTGGAGCGTGTCTTTGGAAACATACTAAAAGATCAGATGTTGAAACAGCTTCTAAGCCTTTTTCAACATCTCTACTTTAAAGTTTCAACAACCAAGGCTTTCAAGAGCAAGTCATTCATTTAAAGCGACAGCTATGCACCTGGCGTTGCCCTTGGGGCTTCTTTTGTTAACTCAACATCAATTCGGGGGGGGAGGGTTCTTCCATTACGGTTGCCTTAAGAGAGGCTTAATAGTATTTCTAATCAACTATAAGTCAACATAGAGTCTTTTCGAGCCTCTCGACAGATGTATTACATAGTATTCTCTTCTCCTTTTTACATACCATTACCACCATGCAACTGAAGACCGTCTCAGCCAGGCTGTGCCACCATCATAACAACTAAGGAAGGGGTTGGGCTACATGCGGCAACTTATGCTGTGCAACTGTTGGAAGACAATCATTAAGCGTACCGTTTAGTGGCCTGACGAAAGCGCAATAGTCTGAATTATGTCGACGACAGTGTGGCGAGTAGCCTTGGACGAGGGATCCATTTGGGTCAGACTGCTGTCTTGATGTAAAATCCAAACGGCTGGAGCTGTACATGAAGCATCACCGTGGTTAGCTGAATTGGTAACAGGATATTAAAGTGTGCCTTTACGCTGCATAGTATCGTCCCATGTCATGACTATCTCGGAGAAGGCTGCACGCTATGCCGCATTAAGACAACCCAACCTGTATGTCTCGTCTTGGTTTGTCTTGTCATATGCGACTATCCTAAGTGTGAGGCTTGTATTTAGCACGCTTCGTCCGTTATCTCGTAAGTAGATTAATGTAAATAATACGATACTAGGTAGAGTGTCCAGCTATGTAGTTATAGCTATACTGTAATTAGAAAACTTTGTAAACAACCCTTGCTGAGTGTACTCCGCTTTATCTTTCTAACTTAATAATTTGCTATTGTTATTCTAGGGAAGTCTCGATGCTTTGTAGCTAGATGTGTTAACTTTTTGCGGTAGTCAGTGTCGTGTCGTCAAAATTATAGCAAGCAACCAAGGCTAATACGTGTTTTAGCAGCCAAGGTAATGCTAAAAGTTCTTCTATCACCAGGCTGCTACAAAGTGGTGGGAGCCCATGTCAGGAATCGTTTTCTCGTCCATGTCTTGAAAAGGAGGAGAATAGAGCAAAGCACACAAGCCAATAGTACTACCCTACGGAGCAGTTAAGTCTCAAAGTGGCCTGATTTGGGAGGTTATCTCTGTGGAGCAAATGAATTACAGATCTTTGCCCGAAGCTCATGCCGATCGGCCGGGCCGATAGATGGCAAATTAGCGGTATGCCAGCAGCTGTTACAGTCGCTACATCGGCTCACGGGCTTATAATAAAAGAACACCGGGTACGCGACGAACATTTATGTGCTAAATCTTGGCTGAATTTAAAAGCAGAATGCAGCACTTGGAAGCTGCGAGCCTCCAACGGCGGACGCCGCCGGGACAGTGACGCAGGTGGCAGGCTCTAAACCAGAACAAACTCGGGTTACCTCTGACGCTCAGGACACACGATAGCCGCTTGAAGATGCATCTGCCAGACTAGTGGGATGGATGGTCAGCAGTTGCCTTCGAAGGGGTCCGTCCCGACGAGAGCATCGAGATGTTGTGCCCTCATACCACGTCTGGGCGCATTTTGTCTCAGCTCATCCAAATGCGGCAAAAAAATGCCTTGGCCATTTCTAGTAGGATGTATCTAGATTGGATACAAATGTATTGATTACGGCTGGCCCTTTTTGTGTCATGTTTCCGTGGCCGGAATAGACTGGTCTGGTCTGCAAAGAAACCCTAACTCTAACAAAGGCTTTAAGGCATTTGAGAGTTCAATCTCCCTAAGAGACTAATTATAGATCTGTCGCCTTGGATATCACATTCTTTGTATATGCTAAGTGGATAATATAAATATTTCATTACTCTGCTATTAGTCAAAGTCGCATCCCTCCCCTCACATTCGTATTTCTGCTTGACCGGCACACGGGGCGCAAGTTTCTACCGGCACTGCATGTGAGAGACTCGATATACACCATGCCGATCCTTGCATCTCCATTTCCAGGAGTGTTTCCAGAGCTAGCAATAATTGTGGCCAAGTTTGGAATTGTCGTTGTATTCATTTTTTCCAAGATAATGAAGTGAACAATGTTTTTACACTGCTTTTCCTCGACTGCAGAAAACGTGTACGTCATCCTATGGCGTCTTGTTAGTGGTTTAGATCTTTGGCCTTCAGAGTATAATCCCTTACAATGTTATTCGCGCAGCAGTAAGCTCTTTTGCTGAGCTCATCGCACATGCGATTGAAGAAAAAAAGGCTCCGCGGCATATCGCTGACTGTTGACGGTGGGTTAGGATTTGTTTGCAATTGTTCGCTTGGGGCGGAGCTTACGGGATAAGCATCTAATACCAACACTGGCAAAGGCCATTGTGCAACACACGGGCTTGTTGCGAAGACCATAGGGGCAGAGGTGGGAGTTGACTTCCGTGGTGCCTGTGGTAGGTAGAGCCACCGAGGTGCTAGCAAGGAGCACAGCAACAACAGTGAGGGACTTCATTTGGAATGTTGTGGTAGTAGAAGACGCGAGTCGGGGTAGGTGGCTGTGGGTGATACTGATACAGGTCTGGAGAAATCACTACATTTGGCAGACGCAGCTATCCCTTCGTACTTATACTTCATGTGAACGAGCATGTCACCTAGCAAGGTCATCAAATGGGTCATCTAGAAGATTTGAACTAGGTTATTTTTATTTTTTAAAGTTTTAATTTTTTTTGACCTATCCAAACAGTCGTGCAAGCATTATATCAAGCAAGGCCCGATAAGTGAACACAAATGTGCCTGGTCGTACCCAAGCAAGAGAACCGTAATCGACCACGAAACTGAAACCAGGTTATAAGGTTTTAATTACGAGCTAGCTAGTTGAACTTAGGGAAAAGTGGCTTTTTCAATTTAATGGTAGCCTCTTAATACCTTTCGATTTCTAACTATAAAAAAACCTTAAAGCCCTTAGTACCTTCCGTAGATAGATCCAATTAAGGACAAGGTCCACATTCAATACGATTCATAGCTGTTCATCGTCTGGTGACACTTTAATGTAGCATATAGCAGAGTCGGATCCACGCATGGCATATCATGATGAAAATTCAACGTGCAAGACAGCCTTGATCGGACTAAATAACATGCATATGCCGGGCTCTCCGCGGTGTAACTCAACACAGCGGCTCATATTTGTAGAAATGCTTCTCTCATCCGCAGCAAAAAGAAAATACCATGTGTCTTAAGGTACCTGAATGAAATAGGAATTCAATGGAGTCGCGCAGGGAAAGGACTGCCTTGTGATACGTTAATAAACTGGCATATGCCTGGCTGCTTTACAAATGTGCTCCGGGCGAATTTGGTGGTCATACCCGACGTTGAAAATCGTGATGATTCGGGCTGGGTACTTCGTACGGAGTGGAGAATTTGTGACCCGGCTAGCCGACCATTATGGTGATGTTGGCCGGGTGTGCTCCCGGCGGCTTCAAGTCCAGACAGGATCGGCGATTGAGATGGAGGTTGTGCTACACTTTCAATACTTGACGAGTGTCGCGAGGGCTGGTGGAGGGTCGATTGCAAAAGACGAGATGACCCTGGAGAGCTTCTAAGCATTGTGTGGTTTGGTAGTCCTGACTCCTGTGCCGTAACATGGTAAGACGACCATACGAAGAGCTATGGCAGTACCTTACACCGACAGGACATCTCAACTATGCATTAGGGCTGTCGTCATGTAATACACAGGATAATGCCTTAGCCATATTGCTGCCTCACGGTGGACAAGCAGGAAGTTCCATGGCCAAAGAGTCACGCAAGATACGTCAATATCATCTCTCAGTCTCGGGCTTTTCTTGTGACACCGCGTGCGGGCCATCACTCGGCACGTCACGGTCCAGCCCCAGAAGTGGCCCTCCGCAAAACGCCACTCGGCTTCTTCACCCGAACCCTGCTGATTCGGACGACAGATGGCTTGATTCCTTGGTTTCAATCGCGGCCACGATGGATGGGAGCCATTATTTGTCTTGGGACGTGTCCATAATACCGAGCAGTAGTCAAGGTGCTACAAACACCGTAGAATGTCGGAATCGGTCTAGGTTCGTCACAAATAATATGCCGTAGCCCTCCTTTGGGACGCCCCTCACTCCAGAACTCCAGACCGAGAGCGAATGCTGATTTGTAAACTCAGGCAACTAACACCTTGGAAAATGGGAACTTCGCACCAGTGAGAACCCTCTGGGCATCATCAACCCAATGTCCAGCTCATAAAAGCCACTACAAACAGTCTTAAACACAGTCATCTTGATCACATGGCTCTTGATTATACCACCGCCGTAGTCTGAAAGAAAGAAGAAAGCAATGAAGCAGCTCCATAGGCCAGGTGTATTGGATATCACTCATTTGTTAGCAAATCGAGTGGCGCGGCAGAACCGCCAAGTCTCAGTACTGTAGACAAACACCAGGCTGAAGTCATTCGGCACAGACTCGGGATCCTGTTCCGTGATGTGACAGCACATCCGGATTCCGAAGCCGACTCGATATTCGACACGTCACAGACTTGAGCTGCGAACAACGGAAGCCTTGTCCAACAAAAATGCATAAATCGATTTCTTTTGATAACATGATTGATTCCTGGGAAACTCAGGGGCGTTTTTTGGGCGTGACTTGGGAGCGTACAGATACAATGAGTATGCAACGCCTGCAGATGGCTTCCCTCCACAAGGTGTTGGAGTAAGCCTTCGGCTTGCATGGCTTCGTATCCCCTCCCCGTAGGCTGCAACAGATCATATAAGCTGCTCTTGACCACTTCAAACCCCCCTCCTGCCATTCTCTACACTCATCCGGTACAAGCAAGTCCCTCAATCGAAAGGACAACACGTACCTGTGATTTCATCTTCCGTCGGTGCCAATATGCCTACTTTGTCTATTCCTCCGACACTAGAGCCTAGCAAGGCGTTTCCAATGAAGGCGCCTCCCGTCATTGGACCCAAGACCAAAAGGGCCACTCGTCCAAACACTGCCATTCCCAGCTTTCTCATTGAGGAGGCGCAGGCCACACCCGTAGACACGGGGGAAGCCCAAAGACACATGGCTTTTGAGCCTCCGGCGAATATCACAACCATGAAGGATATTGGACTTGAAGGCCAAGGAATTTCTCCCAACGCCGTGTCCGCTCCATTCTCGCTGTTTACCAAAGAAGCAGTGTTGCAGATGAGACGTGAAATCTTTAGCGAGCCAGTCCTCAAGGAGTGTCGCTACAGCTCAGACTTTATCGCCAACATGATTCGTGGTATGGGACGCGAGTAAGTAGCCCACGTGTCCAAGGATGAAACAAGCAGTGGACTCTGACTGATGAAATCCAAGCCGAGCCCCGTTTACTTATGAAGCCTGGAACTCGCCGGAAGTACTTGACAAGATTTCCCAAGTGGCCGGTGTGGAGCTGGTTCCGGCATACGACTACGAAATTGCAAACATCAATATTTCCGTCAACGACCCAAACGAGGCAGTCGGCCCCGATATCGATCAGGTGTCGGCAGTGGCTTGGCACTACGACAGCTTCCCATTTGTCTGCGTGACCATGGTTTCCGACTGCACAAACATGGCGGGCGGCGAGACGGCAATCAAACTGCCGGGCGGCGAAATCCGAAAGGTCCGTGGTCCGAGCATGGGGACCGCCGTCGTCATGCAGGGGAGATACATCTACCACCAGGCCCTCAAGGCGTTTGGATGCCGCGAGCGCATAGCCATGGTGACTCCCTTTAGGCCCAAGTCTCCATTTATCAAGGACGAGACCATTCTTACCGGTGTGAGGGGCATCAGCAACCTCGATGAGCTATATCCGCAGTACGCCGGGTATCGATTCGGGGTGCTTGCGGAGCGTTTCCGTGAGCAGCTCAGGGAAGAGCGACGGAGAAAAAGCTCTGGTCGTTGTTTCGACATTAACTCCGCCAGAGCCTTTATTCTAGAACAAAAGGAATACTTGGAGAGTATGTTGGAGCAGATGTACGAGGTGGACTAGTGCCAGGCTGTAATGGTCTGGTGGGCTGAGCATGGCGAGAAGATGGCACGGCGGCGAGTTTGCCCCGTGTCGGGCAGTCATTACGTTATAGCAGCGCCATTTCGTTGATTGTTTTTCTTCTCTTCCTTCCAAGTCCTCTCACGTCTCATCAGTTCGAAACAGGCATGGCCCAAATGTAACCAGGTTGGACTCGTCTGCGTGATGGGAAATTGACATGTTGGTGTGCCGCATGACGAGACCAAGTTTGGTCACCATGAAGCAGTCCGGTGTTGCCGGTCCGGTCCGCTTCTGAACTGAACTGGCAGGGCTCAAGGTGGGCAATCCGACCACGCGCCACCCATGGTATAGACATTGATCCCGGTATGACGCGCAATCAAATGGAGAGCAAGGAGAATTTCTGATTCGCGAGTTAGTTTTGCGAGCCCCGCAACTATAGTTTCATGTTTACCTTAACCTTAATATTCCGATATATAGCCAACTAGGAGGAACTTGTATTTAAAAATAAACTCAATATATTATTAATCAGTAAATGACTAAACTGTATACATAAAAATATACCTATGTTAATTCTGCAAAAAGTATTGCATAATATATTTCAGTATACACGGTTGAATCGCCCCCTGATTTCCAACAACTTCACATGTAAGATTGATTGCAGAGTACAGCCTTGATCGGCCCACAAAAGCAAGTCGCCGTAACCTCCCCTGGCTCTGACGGCCTCGCTTAAAGTCGTGCGGGCGAAGTTACTCGTGTTGTGGCCCATGCGGGCTTAGAGTCTTGGCCTAAGCCTTACCAATATGGCAGTGTACGTTGGTATCATGACACACTGGCAGGGACGTGCTGGAACTACCGATTTGTGCAAGAATTGTCATAACCCAATAATTCGGCTCTTGGGATCCTGAAAAGGAAGGAGCATGATGATTGCCAATGGTGACATCAGCAGAGGTTATGTCATATTCCACAATTCCTGCTCGCAGCGGACAGCATTGCATAATACCTCAGCCGGCAGAGGAGAAAATGGAGTCAAGGTAACAATGCAATGGTCGGGTTTGCTTCGGCTTACGGACCTCGCTGGCTGGTTTTGCAGGGCGTAGAAGGCACAGCCGCGTCAATAGCAAGCCTTGGCCACGCTTTTGGGGATCAATAGATTGTTTCTGCACCAGGTCGTGTATTCTCACCCTCGTACTCCTCCTACAATACCTAGTCTCTATGAGCTGAATACCCCGCTGGTTTGTAACAGGTAGTTGGTAGGACCAGGTGCGAGTGATCAGATGATATGACATACGCTATTTGACCATGAATGTGAAGCAACAGGCTGAAACAAGCTCGAAAGAGATTCATAAAGTACGTATAGTCGAAGATACTTAAAGACTGCTGTTCCCTTCGGGTTGGTCATTTGGCCCTATAGTCAGACATTCCATACATTCATCGCCTCTCGTTTCTCTTCCGTATCAAGGAGTCTGTCATTCTTACGCTCAGAGCAAACATGAAGACCTCTCCTTTGATGCTTGCCGGCCTGCTTGGCCTAGCAGCTGCTGATCCGATCAAAAGGCAGCAAGCGGCTCCTACTCCTGCTCCTAAGAAAACCATCCCAGGACACCTCGCGTATGTCCCTTGGAAGGTAGACAAGGTCCCCTCTGGTGGTCTGCAGGATATAACATTTCCCGTATCCATCAAGGACTCTGTCCGCGAAAAGGGCTGGTTTTTTGCACAAAGCTTTCACTTTGAGGGGCAATCGAGGGGTGGATACATTGGGATCCAGCCACGCCCGGATAATTCCAAAGGCCCTGTTGTCCATGCCGCATTCTCAATATCAACGCCAAAGGCCCCTTTCAATGGAAAATGGCTGCTATTCATCGGGGACCCCGATAAGCCCCAAAACGCCTCAAATAGCTGCTTTCTGATTGTACGAAAAGCCTTAAAAGAAGGCTCGCGCTACCACCCCATTAAAGCCGGACCTTTAATAGCTAGATACCGTAGAACCCCTTAAATTGATTACTTTTTAGGTGACCTGTTAGACGACCTTAATATCTATAAATAAGGGCCTGTTTTCCGTACCTAAATAGCTTCAATCAAGGACAATTCCACTATTTAATCTGCTTCCATAGCTGTCAACCTGATACCATGCGTAGCAACATACAAGTTACCAACGGCTCATTTAAAAGGCCTATATACTCGGATAATTCATCAGCTACAGGGCCTTGTGTTTTGCAACCAACAGCTTGTCATCCGGCTGGCTAGAAATCAAAGCGATAGACGCGACCGACACCTTGACACAGCACTATTGGACCTGCAACCGGATCTTATCTACGGACCACCGCCAACGTCACCTTGATGCATAGCCGGTCCGCATTGTCAACCGCTGTCAACCAGTCAGTACGGGCATTCCAACGAACGACAAACAAGACGAGACGTACCAGTATTTCCTGGAGGCGAGTAGCGGAACTCCCACCTGTTCCCGGACGCAAGCCTCACGCATACATGCCCACCCGGCACGCCAGCCCGTTCTTTGAACACCAGCTCCGTCTGGACCGCGTCCGTGTCCGGATCGCAGCCGTGCGCGACATCATACACGGCGCGCGGGTCTCCGCGCTCCGTCATGAACATCTTGGTCGTGTTGTCAAAGGCAGTATACTGTCAGGGTGTTAGCCCCGAGCCTTTTGCTCGCATGGAATGTCTATCCAGACTTACTTCTCCGTTGATGACGGCCCGAATCGTCGTGCCATTGCTCAACTGCGTAATGACGCCATCGACAAGAGTCAGTTCGCTGGCGGGTGCGCCAGCCGGACTCAGATACAGGTGCTGGTCGCCGCCGCCGGCCGCCCACTGGTTCAACAAGCGGTTGTGTATCACGGGGAAGGACGCATTCTGGACCTGGATCGCGAAGCCCTCTGCGATATTATTAGGGAGCGCCCCCGGGGGAAGCACTGGTAAGAGCGGTTTTTTATTCTTTACCTTCTAAGAAAGCCTATTATTATTAAAGACCTTAAATGTATTATAAGCACCTAGCTAACCTAGAAATAAAAGGTTAAAGATAGCTTTAAAGTGCCTTTATAAATAAAAATACTACTATTATAAGTGTTTATACCTAAACAAGCCTCTTAAAGATCTAATATAGAAGCCTAACGCTAAAATTAAAGCTTAAATTTAATAGAAGCTATTAGACTCGTCTATTAAAGCGAAAGTTAATTAAGCTTATTAATGAGCATTTAATTAAATTTACTAAAAGTAGTAAGAAAACCTAAAAATAAAAGGTATTACGTTTTTAAGCTAACTTTAATAATAATAATAAGGTATTCTTTAAAATAAAGGCCCTTATTAATAAGCTTCTTTATAAGATAAAGGCCTTTTATAAGCACTAGGGTAATCTAGGCCTTAATAGTATTTAATTAAAGAAGCTAATAAATACTTTTTACGAGTATTAATTAAAGAAGCTTATAAACGCTTTTTATAAGCACTAAAAGCCTAGGAAATCAATGAATAATAAAGCCTATAGAGGTTTAAATATTAAAGGGTTTAAAAGGTTAAAAAATAAGGGTAGCTTAAAGGGCCTAAAAACGTAGAAAACGCTAAAAACGCTAAAAACGCTTAAATTAATGAAAAAGGCTATAACTAACTAAAGCACGGGTTAAATCACGTGAAGTAAGTAGCCGCGTTATTTATTTAGTTAATTTATGAGAATATCTACCCTTTAAGAGACTCTTTTATCCTAGATTTTAGGTTAGACCCATAAATTTATAAAAACCTAAATTAATTTACCGACTATTAAGTCCTTTAATAGCTTAAAGAAGCCTTTATAGGCGATACGAAGCTTTAAATTAAAGGCTATAAAAAGGTCTCTTTATAAATATAAATAGAGCTTTTTTAGTTAAAGTAAGTAGCTTTTATTTTAACCTTTCACATAAATATAACCTTATTAAATAGCTTTATGGAGCGCGTTCTATATTGGTTCAATCTGGTATTAATTTCACGACGCCTTCTATTTCGACACTTCCACCCCTCCCTCTCTAGAAACTGTCATTCAGTATATCCTCATTCATCTTGACCATTGTCGGACTGTACTCGGACGACTCCATGTCTGCACCGGCATCCATCAATATGTCATCCACGATCCTCCGGCTCGCCTCCCGAGCTGTAATCGAATTAGCACTCTTCTCGCACTCTGAGCCCGTCGCCCCGCGAAACTTTTCGTCGCGAAACACATGGGAAATGGACAAACTCACCTGGCGTTTGCAGCAACTTGGACGGCGGCAGCACAAACTGAATCGTCTTGGGTGGGCTCATGCCCGCGTACAGGTCATCGTCTCCGTCCTCGTCGCTATCCCAGTCGATTTCGTACTTTGGTCTGCCACGCCTCGCCTCGCCTGCTGCTGCTGCACCGCCAGCCCCTTCATCCCCCCTCGCCGAAGCAAAAACGTCGTGCGACTTCTTTGCCGTCGCCGGCGTCTGGACGCTGACGCCGGGGGTCCTCGGGGCTTGAGCTGCCGCGCGTTGTCGCGCCATCAGCTTGTATGGCGACATGAAGACTTCGCTGCGCAACGTTGGCGCCGCAATTTCGGGCGATGACATGATGGAATCGTCGTATTGCCAAGCCGCTTTTTCCTTTTCCTTTTCCTTCTTCAGGGGAGATACTTTGATGCCCGGCCGGTGCGGTGTAGCTTGCACCCTGTAATTCTTGTCCAACACGCGGTGTAGCAGCGGGTCCTTGGTCTGTCTCGCCGATGCTTGTTGTATCTATTAAGTCTATTAAGATAACGATAAAAGCCTTTAAACGGCCTATAAGGTTTAGATTAATTATAAAGGCATTATTAATAAGCTTATATTATCGTATACACCCGCTTAAAACAGCTCTATTAAAAGGTTTAAAGGTATTTTAAGGTTAAAAGCCCGTATAATACAATTAACAGTTAACCTTTTTACTAAGTTATAGCCTAAGATTTAAAAAGCTACTACCTACCTTTATAATCTATTACTATAATAAGGTATAAACTAAAAGACGCCCTTCTAATAGCTTTAATAGTAGCTTTAATTAAATAATCGTAATATAAGTTATTTAAATAGGCCTAATATTACACATTTAATTACGTATAGTTATAGAGCTTATCTAATAACCTAAGAAGCTCTTTAAGGCATTTAAAGAGCGT